TGAAGCAGGAGACTGATACTTTCATGGTGACTCGATCTTATGAGGAAAGTGACCACAGTGAGCAGCTTCTTTCTCACAGCTCTCCTGAAGGAGAGAGCCGAGATCATGAAGAAAATGGGCACGTGGAATCAGGATCTACTAGAAATACAGAGCTGAAGAAGAGACGTCACAGAAAGAGAGGTCATAGACAGAGACTAGACAACACTGCTGTGTCAGAGAGTCAAAGTAAACCTGTCTCAAGGAAAAAGTCTCTAGAATGTGACATCTGTGGAAAAACCTTTCGGCATAAATTTGTGCTGACTATACATCTGAGAGTTCACACAGGCGAGAAACCGTACACTTGTAACACCTGTGGAAAAAGATTTTCTCACTCATCAGCATTAAAAAGACACAAGAGAATTCACACTGGTGAGAAGCCATATTCCTGTAGCACCTGTGGAAAAAAATTTATTCAGAAATCAATTTTGGACTGTCATGAAAGAAGTCACACAGGTGAGAAACCATATCCTTGTAGCATGTGTGGAAAAAGATTTTCTGACTTATCAGCAATTAAAAAACACAGGAGAATGCACACAGGTGAAAAACCATATTTATGTGGGATCTGTGGAAAAAGATGTAGTCAGAAAGCAGCATTGGAATCTCATGTAAGAACTCACACAGGCGAGAAGCCGTATTCTTGTAGCACCTGTGGGAAAAGATTCACTCGAAAATCACTTTTGAACTGTCATACAAGAACTCACAAAGATGAGAAGCTGCATTCTCATAGCAACTGTGAGTCATAGCAGTGTGTTGGTGGTAATGCTTACACTGTCAGGTCACTGCAACAACTGATTGGAGAGATGATTCATATTCAAGACAGTATTTTCTGCTGTTTTAGGTCCTTTACAATTTAAAGCGTCTTGAGAGAACTGTCATTGTGATTTTGTGCTTTATAAGTAAAACTGAATAAAATTGGATTGTCTAGAGGAGTGAAGAACTCTCATCATTCTTTGTTCAGTTTATTACCTTATTCTTATAATTGCATATCCTATTAGAGTGATTAGAACATGCTGTAGGTATTACAGGTACTGCGCTGCAGTGGTTTGTAACATATCTATCTAATAGACTCCAATTTCTTCACGTAAATGGAGAGTCCTCTTCACATGCTGAGCTTAATTATGGAGTTCCACAGGGTTCAGTGCTAGGACCAATTCTGTTAACATTAAATATGCTTCCCTTATACATTTTTACTGCTATGCTGATGACACCCAGCTCTATCTATCCATGAAGCCAGATTACTCATGCCACGGGGCGACCGTGGCTCAGGGGGTTGGGAAGCGTATCTGTTCGATCGGTTCGATCCCCAGGCTCTCT